TTGGTTGAAATTATACATAGAATTGATATAAAAAACTTATTTTACAAGCTTTATATTTTTTATATATACTTTTCATATACAAAATGAACTCCAAAATTTACAAATCATATATCAAAAGATAGCTAAATGTATAAGGAACATATGTTTTTAGAAATGTTCTTTCATAAATTTTACAGAAACCGTCAAAAAACACATGTGAAGAGAGTAGCCTTCAAAACCAGTAATAACAAGTGATAGTACTAAATATAATACAGTTTCCTGTGGTAGTACACACTGGGAAATTTGGTATTTTAAGGGTTAACTGATAACAGCAAAAGCACTTCCTTGAGTGTGCATAGTAAGATCACCTTAAGTATGTAATTGTGGCAAAGACAAGCCAAACTAGTCACTTGTTGCAAACCATGTTAGGGGATAACGAAATAATTTTTTACCATTTTATAACTCTAAATTTGCTGTTTGACACTCTATTAATAACTAAAAATCTATTTTTCCGACGAGTGACTGGTTTGGCTGGCTTTTGCCACAAATAAGGAAATTAGCACCTGATCAACAATTGCAAACTTATTACATATTGAAAACCCTACAAGTATGGGATGAGTTTCTGCTAAATAACAAAGAAAAACATTCTATAGTCTTAAACACAGCGTTGCTCATATTATTACTAACTGCAACTGTCCACTTTAAAATGACAATGGGGAGAAAAGCACCTGATGAAAAATTGCAAAAATATATTAAATATTGAAAACCATAAAAGTACGAGTTAATAAATTAAATTCTGTTAGTCCGTTGCACTTAACTGAATAGTATGTCCAATTTAAAATGATAAAAAATTGCACAAACCTAAAACATAGTGAAAACCATACAAGTATAATAATAAAAATAAATTTTTCCATCTTTAATGATACATGGAATTTATAAATTCAGTAAAATGTATTTTGCTAGTCGGCCTACTCATTTACAGTAATGCACATTTTAACTGAATATGGCAGCCGTCAGTATGTCTTTGTGTACACTTGTAAAAAGGCACTAAACATTAGCTTCTTTGAGTACCGCTGTCTTGCGCACTGTTCTTTTCTGGTTCTTCAGATGAGGGATTTTACGGCATGTTGGGCACAGCCAGTTTACAGATTTTGGACCCTTTTAAGTCCTAGGCAGTCCAGGTGGAAACGTTGCCATGCACATTCGCTGTTCTTGCAGCTAACTGTCAACATACCATTGTCTTCCTGCTTGCAATAACAAAATAGATGCACATTCTCATCCCGTACAGGTACTCTCAATACCTATTCCAGTTGCCTATCAGTTGAGGGAGAACAGCAACTTGGAAGAAATGCTTTGCTTTGCCTATCATTTGTTGTAAGAATTCTGCATCAGGATAAATCCTTTCAATTGTATTCCCTCCTTGTATACAACACAAAATCACAATATTTCACTTTACAGATCAGAATTTGACACTGGACCTACAAATACAAAAAAAACAAAAATATGCACATGCATTAGTGATAAAAATCCGAGTTTTGCAATTCTGCACTGTCCATTTACACATTCATTTTCACTATTACTGTACCTGATAATAATACGCATGTTTCCTGTCCAGCTGGATCTCATTCTCAGTCTGTTGAAGACATGATTTTTTACTGGCAGCAGTGTCTTCAATTGTTTCATCTTTAAAGCAAAAAGGGCACTGAAAGACAATAGATATTGTTTGGTTATGATCTGCATAATTTCAAATAATCTTTTTCACCTATCCATTTTAATATTTAAATTTAATAGTAATAAAAAAGTTACCTTGATTTCACAGACTCCACTTCCACAACATTTACAATTGACAACCCCATCAGGAGAGGCACCCATATATGCATAGTCCACATTCAAACAGAGTCCACTATCTCCACCAAGTCTTCATGGTTACATTTCTGGATCTCGAAATATAGCATCTGCGCTGTCTTTTCATGGTTGCATCCCCATCTGAGAAAACAATAATTTAAGAATAATGAAACATAACCTACTCTTGTATATTGAAAGTAATGTGTAAGTACACACTGTTTTTAAAAATTGCATATTTTTATGTTAATTTCAAAATAATATATAAAGGTTATATGTTTATTAAAAATAAATGTGTTTTTCATACTCACTTGGTGGCTGCATTTGAAAACTGCAACTTGTCTGGGTAGCAAATAGCATTAATGAGGCTAACCGATGGTTTAGCCACATCTGTATGGCATACTGCCTTCATTCTGGATGCGGTTATCCGACCAGATCTGTACTTAAACCATTCCTTTGAATTTGCTTGCTCCTTGGTTTGTTTTTCCACATTATGTACCATTTCCTCAGTAAGTATTATAGACGTTTCAATCTCTCTACAATTTCAACAGAAGATCGTTGAACTGGAGCTCAAGGGCCTCAATGTCAAACAATGATGTTAAATTGAAAGGCAACTTTTGTGCTGGCACAAACTCCTCACAAAACCCAGGCAGTATTGAAAGGATTGCAGATTTGTTTCCACTTTCGCTTACCTGTGATTGAAAAAAAAAAATAATAGATTTAAAATTAACGCCATTTAAGACAGAAAAAAAAAAATTATCACCAAAATAACTAACATATCATCATCATCATATTAAGTGATTGTATTTTCCACAATGATGCATTTTAATGCACACTTGAAAACTGACTTTGGTTAATAAATTTATCAATATAATCAATACTCTATTTTATATTATTTCTATCATTACTATAATTGCACCTACCCAACTCATATTAAATCAGACTATACCAAGAATCGTTTCACATTACCTGTCTCATTAAATTTAATTTTTCTTCTTCTGTTGGCCTGCAGTCCAGCACCTGAGTGTGGGCATTCAAACGTCTTAGTGCAGTTGGTGATGTTAAGTTATCAAGAATTTTTTTTTTTTTTTTGGCAGATGTGAAGTCTTTTTGACGTACCTCAACATATGGTACCTGTAACCAACAGGAAAAAAAAAAAAAAAAGGAAAGAAAAACATATATAAAAAGCTCGCTTTTAAGCATATTACACCATTACACTAATATTTAATATAGTAAATATTATGGTTGCTTGTACCTTCTTTAATCACCTTCCTAATTTAGGCACGGTATTGTTGAGCGAAATTAGCTACCACAACAACTTTCAATATATTATTTGACAAGCCTTCAGGACATAAATTATTTGAAAATAAACTGTAAACTTACAGTGCAATAAATTATATAGTTATACAGTAATACATTTTGCAGCGGCATGTCTGATATATTTTTCTTTAAATTAATGAATATATTTTTATGCAAATTGTGGTATGATTACCTGCTTTAAACTAGTGGGCAAAACCCACTGGCAGCTTTTTTCTGTACAGGTTTGCTGGTCCCTCATCCGGGTTCCTGCTTCAACTGCAAACAGCACTGCTCCAATGTGGCTGCAAACCTCACTTAATCTGTTGATGTAGAAAAATACACACGTTTTATTACAAATATAACCTTTCAGTAATAACTGTGACTGAATCATTATCGAAAAAAAATATTTTAATATTTTCTTAAATCACAAGACATTTGGATATTTGACAACTTACCCTGCCATACAGTCACAGTGACCAGTCACTACTTCACTATTAGCCTCAAGGAGAACCCAGGTTTTTAATGGAGTTTCATTCATCCTCTGGGAGTGGTTACCTTCTATTCAAAGAAAAGCAATTATTGGCCTAAAATAATATGAATTACGAATTGGCAAAACAAAAATATTTACCAGCCCTTACTCTACTTCTCAATAGTGACTAATGTCAGTGACGACACACTGTGGCCCATTTATGTTGACCTAGGGCTAGCCTAGGCTAGGCCTAGTACTTAGTAGTTAGTAGCCTATTGCCTATTTTCTAGGCCTAGGCCCTACAGTAAGTCTAGGATCGAATATGATACGGCATTTTGTTATTACAGTGCAGACTTACCCTTGCATATAACACTTTTCCTTCTCTCTCCACCTTCATAACGCCAATATTTCTTACCCAACCGGATAAGAAATAATTGTAACTCTCCATGAATTTGTATGCCTTCATCTGACGGCCTGTGACAAAGCTTGTTGAAAACACCAAATAATTTACTATATCGGGATATGTGACCGATGGCCACAAGAAAATGTCATCTAGAAACTTTATAGAATAACTAAATGGGTCTATATTCCCACATTCTAACGCCTTTTCTAAATATTTGGCTTTGCAATCTGTAGGAAGTTCCTGGTAATACTGCGAAAACGCTATTCTACCATCGGTTGCCATCTTGTGGCGTCGTGTTGCATAGCCTCACTAATGGCCGACACGGAATATGTGACGTCACTTGCAAACGATCTATAGCATTAGTAGAACAAAAGTGGAACACCACAGTTACAGAATTAAATTGCCATCTCCACCCACTAGAAACCATAGCCAAAGACTGTAGCTCATTATTGACAGGACTGGAAAAAGAAACTAACAACCAGCAGAAGGATTTGTATAGCCATGGCTGCATTGCCCAGCGACTCGTTTACAACATCAGTAAAATGAGGTATGCAGATGGGAAAGGGTGACCCAAGAGGCTTTAGAAACGCTTTGGAAGAGGGAGGCTATAAAAAAGGTTTTTTACCTAGATATCGTGGTAACAGACTTCACATAACATTCCATATAGCGGAGAAGCTGTTCAGAGAGAAAGCATTCTTCTTGCAGTTATTCAAATCAAATTTAAGTTGTTCTACAATTTGCTGAGCTGTGGAACGGTCTTTTGCAACTGAGTTTGCAAAATAATAATTCATAATTCATAGACGTCGAAATTCCTGTACACCGACTACGCAACACATTTGTATCGAAGCGATATAAAGGCTATATTGATGCAAATGTACCTCGCAAAGATAAGTCGTAAGAAGGACCACGTGAACGCACATTTTTATAATGCTAGAGTGAAATACTGTGTTCAACTCTGTGCAGGTTTTCCTGATGCCTGCAATGTAATTTCTGTTGACAACAAAAACAAAGTGAAATTAGGTAGGCCTAATATTTGTTTGTTTCCATCTTAAAGCGTCGTATAAACCAAGTACGAATTCGGTCCAGTGCACCAAATTTACGCACTGTAATAAAAATAATCCATTGTGCACGCGTTTATCATAACAGTCTGAATTCGTGCTTGGTGTGAACGATCCTTAAACGTTGGCCTAATAATTCATTTTAAGTTCGCGCGAAGCATAGGTAACCTCAGAACCTCACTCCTGTTGTTACCATAAAATCACCCAGTGTCATGATGTTGCAGCAACAATGTACTGGGACAGAGCAAAAGTAACTTGTCATGACAAAAGTCTGGACCCCGTATTACTTTAACTAATAAAATCGTACAATAAAATCTTACATTAAAAATATAAAAAGCAACCTCTGACCTGCTCTAAAATACATATGTAGCGTTTTACTGGTTCCACTATTCTCCATGGCTTGGCGGACTACGCACGTGTGTCAGCAATGAGACGTGTGTAGGAAAAAACCAACAAGAAGATTAACACGCAAGGACAGTATGTTGGACGCACCAGGGCAATCGGCATGCAACCCCATAGAGCATGCGTGGCCTCCGTGTACGAACCGCCTGTCATCAGTGTCCCTTCCCGATATCTTGAACGGGGAAAATCTACTGTACCACCATGGAAACAACAACTGACACCGGAGGAAAAACATCAAAAAGAAGGACAGGTATTCGACCAAGCAATGGAGACACTAGGAACATACCTCCAAAATGTTGAATTCGCAGGCGTTCCAATTGAAGAACAACCGTACAACGACTACGATGCGGTGTACAATGTAATGACTGCAAACAGTGGTAAGGTTTACCTGTACCTTTAAAGATGAGGTTCAATTCATGTTACAACACGTAGATTTACAAAATGCAAAGACACATATTGTACCCACTGTTCAGAAAATCCAATTCGTGCCAATGAATTTATAAATTTCTGTTTTAATAGGGGAAGGCTTCTATCACCAATGCAAAAGATATCTCTAGTTTTCATACAATTCATGAAATCCTCAAATTAGATTCGTGGGATACACTTGATGTGTCAATGCCATCAGTTGCTGGAAAGTGTTCCATATGCCCTGCCTTTGCCTTTCGCAGTGAGGCTGAGGCAACGTCCCACAGAAGGCGATATCATTCATGGCAAGACAGATAAAATTACCTTTACTAGTATATTTAAAACGATTATTTTTTTTAATTTTTTTTTTTACAATTATATCATTAGTTATTAGTTATTTTCATTTTTCTTTTCTCATTTCTTTGTAACGCTGTAGCGGATTAAATTTGGTGATAACCTTCCTTGTTAATTCCCAATAGGCCTAACCTATTTTAGCATAAATTATTTTAATTGTGATGTTGTAGATTTGACTCAATATAATGGCATATTAATGTAAAGCGAAGAGCCCGACATAAAATATAACCTTGAAAATTATTATGATGACATGATAGTGCACTGGGACTTATGTACTGCCGTGTGTGTAAAGACTGCCCAGACAAAGCAAACACGCAAAGTTCGTTTTACTTGGGATGCGAAAGTTTCTGAAAGAAGTCTATCCAAACTCATGACAAATCCAAGTCACACTCAATGTGCGTGCAAGTCAAACGGGCAAAGGAAAACCCAAAAGATACACCAATGTGTAAGGCTATTACAAAGATGAATGCGGAAAATTTTGAAGTTCTCCAGAAACTGTTCCGCACTGCCTATTATGTTGCAAAGGAGGAATTAGCATCAGCTAAATTTCCAAGCTTGTGTAAGCTCCAAATGGCAAATGGAGTGGGACTGAAAAACCCCTACATTAATGACCTTGCATGCCGTGAATTCATCAGAAGTATGGCACACGTTCAAAGAGAAAAAAACAACTGAACAATTAACAGCTGGCAACACAAGATTTCTATCTGTGCTATCAGATGGTAGCACAGACAGCGGAATAATTGAGCAGGAGATCGTGTATGTTAGATTCCTATTAAATGGATCACCTCAAACAAGGATGGTGAAGATAGTGGACGTCAAACATGGCCATGCAGCAGGTATCCTTGATGCTATTGATCATGCTGCTGCTGATGTTGGGATTTCGCCAGACGTATGGTTCAGCAAGGTAATTTGTGCTAACTTTGATGGAGCAAGTGTTATGATGGGAGACGTGAATGGAGTTGGCAGTTTTAGATGCTGTCAAAAAGCTACCCTACGTACAAGAATTCGAAGATACAATTAAGGGAATTTTCAAGTTGTACTTTACTCACCAAAGAAAAGAAGGGAACTGAAAGAGATTGGAAAGCTATAGAAGAAAATGTAGCTCACTTCAGTGGGCTTAAATCTACAAGATGGATACCCAGCCGACTCAGGAGCCTGAAGGCTACTGAAAACAATTCTACACTGCCCTCCGGGCTGATGCAGGAATTGTATAAGAGACAGCATAGTAGTTTATCTTCTTTTTTCAAGATCTACAAGATGGATACCCAGCCGACTCAGGAGCCTGAAGGCTACTGAAAACAATTATGCGGCAACAATTATGCATTTAGGGAACCTTTCAAATTCCCTGAGGGGTGAAGAAGCTGCCAAAGCCAAAGGCCTATTGCAGACAATGCAAACCATTAAGTTTGTGAGATTTCTTCATTTTATGATTGATTACTCGACGATTCTATCCAAGTGTAGTGAGAGTTTTCAGCACGAACAGATATTCATTGGGCATGTGAAGCAAACCATAGAGTCCACCACATCAAAATTGATAAGACTGAAGACAGTCCCTGAGAATCTTCAGCAAGGCTCGATGACCTCCTGACAGGTAAATTTTATTGCTATATACCATACTTTTATATTTATGACTAATACATTGATTAATAAATATTATTGATGACAGGAATTCAAATACAGTGCCTTTTTAAATACTTAATAAACCATAGGATAATAATTTTCTAACAAGATCATTATATAATTTTACCTCGAATAAAGCTACCTATAAAGCTAAATATTGTGAATGTATATATGAAAATTATAATGCATTTCATTTTAGTTTAAAATTTTGAATTGAAACTTAAAATTTGTTTTATTTACTAATTCAGTAATTTGCACATATTTTATTAAGTTTTAATCCAAGATTTTTAATGTTTTAAAACAAAAAGTATTGTAACACTTCTTTTCTAATATATTTTTTTTCATTGTGTGTTTCCCTTTGTTAAATATAAATGTATGTCTTTGCAAACATTAGGCTTATATATTTATTCAGGTGAAAATCATCAATTTCTTCAGGTAAAAAACCTAACCAACAGAAGAAGGCAATCTCGCTTGGTAACTGAGGCTATCCCAGAAAGCAGCAGCGACTTCAACAAGATCTTGGATGATAGTGTTAAGTACCTTGATGCGCGATTTGCAAACTTAAGCCAAGAGCCACTGTCTTGTTTTGATATATTTGATATTTCGATATATTTTTGATTTTTGATATTGTCGGTTTATGGCGACAAAGACATTGAAGTACTTGTCAAGCATTTTAAATCAGTGTTGACAGATGGCGAAATTTAGGCGATCCCTGATGAGTGGTCAGACTTTAAAACCTGGATGGCTGCCCACAGAGGAGTTGGACGGTTTCTTGACTTATATGGGGATCTATTGAGAGAGAATCCACCACACCTGAGCAAAGTACTTGTTTTGGTGCAGGCACTTCTTACTCTAAGTCCATCCACAGCTGCTTGTGAAAGGGGATTTTCAACTATGAATCGGGTAAAAACCAGCCACAGAACCTCCCTGTTACCAGACACTTTGAATGACCTCATGCAGATATCAGTTGATGGATGTAGCGTTGATGAGTATTCTCCGGATAGGGCAGTAGAATATTGGTTTTTCGCGGGTAAAGGGAAAAGGCATCTGGAACACAAGACTCAAACAAGTGGTTCGTTTAGGTGAACGTTGTACGTTTGTGCTCGTACGTTGTACGTTTGTGCTCGTACGTAGTAGATTTGTCTATTTCCCTTTGTAGGTTGTATGTTTGTGTGAGTACGTTGTCTATTTTTCTGAGTACGTTGTCTATTTCTTTGAGTACATTGTACGTTTAAATTTGTATTTTTCGCAGCAATTGCCTTCCAAAGAAATCAAATATGATTTTACCACAAATGGTTTTCTGTTCTTGAACTTCCCTTTAACTATATTAAATAATATTATAATTGTGGCATTAGCATACAATACAATAGCCCAGAGATATACTTGTTGTGCCTAAATTTGTTAGCGCATAAAACACATAACAATACATGGTGTCAGAAGTGGGATATAACTCAAGATTATTCTATGATGGCTCAAGCAGCAGTTTTAATCCACCTCAACCATTCTAATTCGAGCGACCTGAAGAATGGCCTGCATGGTTTTGTAGGTTTGAACGCTACAGAAAAGCACCTGGTTTTAATACAGCCAGCGAGGAGAATCAAGTCAATACGTACAACAATAACCGACATCGAAAATTTATAAAAATACTGTACAGTATTTAACACTTCCCTTTTTTCTTCCCTTTTGCTGTAAACCTATCTCACCCAATAACTCTTTCTGTATTTTAAGCGTCTTTTTGTGAAGGTAAATTAGTTCGTTTTCATTCATTAGATTGTCATCATTTTCATTATCATACGTTTTAAGTCCTTGTCCATTTTGGTTATAGGTTGCTTTAGTGAATTTCAGCACCCCAAATACAGTTGTTGCATACTACGATGTGATGGTAGCCAATAGCATTTGCTTCTCAAACCATGACCTAGGGCATCACAAGCGGTCCAGCTGGTTTGGTTTGGCCGGACCAATAATTTACAGCTCAATATCGTTTATAAGCGAAAGTGTACTTTCACCCCCCAAGTTGTTTTGAAACTTTATTTGGTTGATAAAAATTTGTGTGTTTACCATAAGCTAGATGCATACTTATCTCGAACACAGAACATTCGAGGTAGTACCTTTCAATTGTTTATTAGTTTCGTTAATCCATTTATAAAGGACGTAACAAAGTCTGGCTGGCATTGATCTTTGTATGCTTAAGCCTCACAGTATCTTCTAAAGCAAAACAATATGGTGTTCATGTTGAGAGTATTTTAATGACGGCTGGGTGGTATTCCGAGAGCACCTTTGCCAAATTTTATGATAAACATATACCTAAATTAGATGACCCATTTGCAGAGAATGTTATGAAGTTCAGTTTAGTGAGTATGTTGCCTTTATGAATAACGTATACGTGTGTATACAGAGACTTCATTATTGTGTTTGATTTGCTTTAAAATCTCATAATAATAATGACGTAATAGAATCCTACCATTCAGCGAGACTTACCTGAAAGTTGAAATTTGATGGGGATTCCATGTAGTCATCTTATACACAAAAGGGATCACATGCTCTCCCTCATCCACCCTTTTCCGTGTACGATGCGAGTGTGAAGCTGCGCATGCGTATTGCCTTCTCATGTGATCCTGTTCGTGTAAGATACCTACATAGAATCAGGATCAAACATTAACTTCTCCGGTAAGCCTCACTTAATGGGAGGATTATGCTTGCCTGTTCATAATACAAAGTATTGGATTGGACACCAAGGATAGCCCAGGAAAGTCTAGAAGAAAACTATTTCCAGTGGGGTCCTTCTGGTGGTGATTGGGCAGTACACCGGGAGACAATCCCCTACTCTTTTCTAAAGAGTGTACTGCGTTCTTTAACGTGCACATGGGCTATATATTGCACACGGGACTGCACCTGCAAAAATTGTTTGACACTATTGTACCGGGAGAAGGTGGCGAAGTCGCTGCTCCTAATCAGACGAAAAATGCTGAAGCTTTCGCCAAGTTTATCTTTGAGAGACACAAAGAACAACAGAAGAATTGGGCCTTAGAAATCATGTGGGAACATAGAATTGTTTCATAGTACACTGAGGTTACATCCTTAAAGATGAAGGAATGAATAAGTAACCTACTATATGATTCGAGTAATAACAGCAGCAACATGCTTAAAAATAGCCGGGGAATATATCAGGACAGTTTACTTGATGCTATGGTTCTCAAAGGACTACCGTCCTAACGATATAGAACATTCTCAATGGTAATTACTCTAAAGGAGCAACAGCAATATTTGGCTCCTTAACCAGTATTGATAGTTGATACCAAGGCTTGCTTTCTCAATTTTATCCCCCAATCCAAATGAGAGGTGGTTGAATTCTCATTAGAAGTACTCCCAGATGATACCGATGAGTTAGCAGACATACTTGGCGGGTATTACTGCAGAAAATTTATTTATAAAGATAATATAGATAGAATCGTACAGGAACTGTCTCTTATACACATCTAGATGTGTATAAGAGACAGGGTTATGGGCCCAGTGAGTGGTGATGAATTTAAATACCTGCAGCTATGGGAAGTTACATTTGTTGGTCACATGCACCTGCAAAAATTGTTTGACACTATTGTACCGGGAGAAGGTGGCGAAGTCGCTGCTCCTAATCAGACGAAAAATGCTGAAGCTTTCGCCAAGTTTATCTTTGAGAGACACAAAGAACAACAGAAGAATTGGGCCTTAGAAATCATGTGGGAACATAGAATTGTTTCATAGTACACTGAGGTTACATCCTTAAAGATGAAGGAATGAATAAGTAACCTACTATATGATTCGAGTAATAACAGCAGCAACATGCTTAAAAATAGCCGGGGAATATATCAGGACAGTTTACTTGATGCTATGGTTCTCAAAGGACTACCGTCCTAACGATATAGAACATTCTCAATGGTAATTACTCTAAAGGAGCAACAGCAATATTTGGCTCCTTAA